TGCTCCCGGGCCCCGTCGCCGCCCCTCGGCGTCCGTCCGCGCGGCCTGCTTCCTGCAGCCGGCCTGAGCAGGCCTTCCAGCGGGCAGGAAGAGGGCCGCGGGGCCTGGAGGACCCTGGCCGGAGCCTGGGGTCCGGAGTAGGCCCGCGCGGCCCGGCCCGGCCCGGCCCGCTGTTCACTCCCAGCCTGGCCTCCAGCCTGCAGGTCGGGATTGGATTGGATTTTTATCCCCTGTCACTTACGAATTAAAGCAACGACAACACGACACACATCTGGGGGAAGAAATGAAAGCTGGGGAGGAGAGAGGGGTTGGCAAACGCCCTCCCTCCCCGGTCTTCCCCCTCCCACCTCTCCTCTGCGCCTTTGTCAGAATCACAAAACCCTAAAGGTTGTTCCACTTGGGAAGGCAGCGGATAGGTACATTTCCGCAGCCCCGAAATGCCACTTTTATGGCGCTGTTTGTCTCCCTGCTCCGGGTTCTGAATGGAGCCGAACAAAACAGCAGCGCGGAGCTGGCTAGACGTCTGGGCTTAATTGTTTTATGGTTTAAATAAGGTGGACACTCTTTCCTTTGAAATCGGATTATAGGAGTGTTTTGTCTATGGCCCACGGAGAACAGGACCTCACTGGCTGGGAGGGAGAGGTGGAGAGCGCGCACGCGAGGGAGGGGTGGGCCGCAGGCCGGGGCGCAAACCGCCTGGCGAAGCCCGCGTCCCACCCCAAAGTCCTGCAGGCGGCGGCGGAGTAGGCGGTGCGGGGCCGGCTTCAGGGTAAGAGGAGCGAGGACCTCAGGGTGCGCGCCGGGGCCGGCGGTCGTGGGAGCCCCGGGGCGTGCGTCCGCGTTCGCGGAGGCGTTCCAAGCCCAGGAACCAGCCCGGCGCGGGGGGATCGCGGGCAGTTCCTCTGCATGGTGTCTCTTAATCGCAGAAGGGAGGGTAACAGAAAAACAGCGTGGAACCTTTCACGAGGTTTATTTCGAGAACTCAGAAAACAAAAAGAACAGCCGTCCCGGGGCGACCCCCTCGCGGGGAACCCCTCGCCTTCGCACCCCTTTGGCGGCTGCTTCCTCCCACTTCCCACCTTTGGGCCAAGCCTGGGACCTGGGTGAGCTTTTTCCCAGCCGGACTGCATGGGGGGAAGTGGACGCGAGGTGGCGCTGTTGCTCAATGTTAGAGACGGCGGTGCCCCGGGCCGGCCTGGCCGCCCTGACATTTGAGGCCCGGCCCGGGGCGGCGGCGAGGAGGCCCCGCGCCTCGGCCGGCCCGGCCCCACTGGCTCTGAGCAAATCAATCCCCTCACCTGCGGCGAGGTGTAAATAATTCGCGAGTGGCAGCGGGAGATGGGCCCTCGCTCTGGCTGCGGGCTCGGAAGGCTCAGGAGGGCGGGCATCAAAAATAATCGCTTTGCGGAGGAGATAAGGGCGAAGCAGGCAGCGCGTAATTAACACGAAAAGGCAGAATGACCCGGACAAACGAACATAAATCCGTGGTACCTAGGAGGGCGGCGCAGGCCTCGGGGACAGGGACAGAGACGACCTCGGCGAGGATGGCTGCTTGCGGTTCTTTTATTTCCAGGCTCAGGGAGCGAAATAAACCAGATACGTGTAAAAAGGAAAAAAATATATACATCAAATGAAAGAAAGGCCAGGGATCCGCGAAAGGGGAAACCGAGTCCGGCCGGGGATTGCGGGACTGCTGGGTTCTCGGGCCGGCACGGTGGCGGCACACTCGGGACAGTCGCATTCCAAGACACAAAGGCCCGGAAGAATAGCTCTGTGGCAGGGTTTCGCTGGACCATAAAATGTCGAAATGTCCCCCCACCCCACCCCCTAAAAGATAAGGCGCAGGCCCCAGAGCGGATCCAGCCCTCTGGGCCTCCTCTTTCCAGGCGGGGAAGAGAAAGTATTTATGACAGTCCCCACTGACCCAGATGCTGGGAGCCCAGAGTCCACCCTGTTCAATCTCGGCACCGGAGAGCAGGTTCAGAAAAGGCAGAGCTGGAGGCGAGGCTGGAGAGAGCCCTGGTGGTGGTGGAGGAGCCCTGTCGTGACCCCCACTGCTCTGGGCCCCGGGAGGCCAGCAGCCCTGGCACAGCCCAGGGCCGGAGTCCGGGGTATCTGAGAGTTTGGGCAGTCCCTAACTCACATGGGGGTGGGAGTCCCCAAACGCGGGGGATCCTGGAAGGATCTTTGGCTGTCTGCACCAGTGACTCTCCCTTGGGACTCTGGCAGAGTGGCCTTTTCCCCAGCAATTATTGAGATAACAGAGGGACTGGGGAAGGGGGGTGGGGGTTGGTTCTCTCTAAACCACCCTGCTCTGCACCAACATTCCTTCTTCCATCCCCAGAGCCAGGCTCCGGATGGGGGAAGGAAAAGGTCTGGTTGTTTAACCACCTCCTCCCTCATCCAACCCTGAAACCCCCAGGATGTGGAAGAAAAATCGGGCAGCAAATGGCTTTTCATGAAGCAGAGACCTCAAGATGCATCCGTGTGTGTCAGGCATGATGTGCGTGTGTGCCCGGGTGTGCACATGTGTGCGCAGTGTCTGTGAGTGGCAGGGATGCTTCAGGAATGTGGACGCCGGTTTACACTGAGCACGCACTTGATGTGTCTCGGGGTGAGAGGGTACCACGCACAGCGTGTGTGCATGACCCGAGGGTGTGCAGGACTGCCCTGTGTGTGACATCACATCACACTCTGTGGAAGGGAGAGGGCTGGAAAAATCGTTCTTACTTGTGTTTTTCATTCATATGCACACAGCATACACACACGGCTCTCTCACTTTCTCCTTTTTCCTCTCTGTCTGTGTTAAGCCCAACTAACTGGACACACACGAATGGCCAGGGAAGGGTGCTGATGGATGAGGGTTCTTTAATCCATTAGAATTAACGTGAACGTGTTCGGTCTTGGGGATGGGAAGGAACTCCCCAGAGAAGGTGTGGGTAAATATTTGAAGAATGTCTGTTGACAGTCCCTGTCCAAATCCTGGCCTGGGCAGCCTGCCTGGGAAGAGGGGGCAGCAGTGAAGCCAGGGGACCCCCAGGCTGAGCTTGCACTTCCTATGGGGTGGGGTATGTGGGGACAAGTAAGAGACCTACTCCAGTCCCCTCCAGCTTAGATGCAAATAGCTTCCTAAGGAGAAACATCTTGGATCCGCCCTGCCACCAGAAGCCAGGGACACAGAAGCTGCCCTATCCTTCTAGTCACCTTACAGCCCCCAGCCAAGCTGGTGGCCATGGCCCGGGTTTCCTGCTCCAGGTAGGGGCTGGTGTCTGAGGGGCAGTGTGGTTCTAACTGGGTGTATGGAGTGTCCTCCATCCACCTCTGGCCCTCCTGTCTACCCACAGCAGGCAGGCTAGAGAGCCTTAAGGAGCTAAGGAAGCCGGGCAGCTTCGGTCCCTGGGGCCGGGGCAGGGAATGGAGGGTCAGTCTGATGCCTGCAGTATCTTGGGAATGGGCTGTGCCTGTGCCTTCTCAACGTCCCCAGACTTGAGGACCCCCCAGGGAGCCCGGCTTTGGGGTTAGGGGCCCTGCTCTGGCTTGCTGGCATGCAACCCCTTGGGGGTCTTATACCTGTTGAGGTAACCTGAGCTGACCTGCTGGCTCAGGTGTCTCTCTCTCAGAGAGGAAGGAAACGAGCAGCCAGGTGGGGGGAAAGCCACCTTGAAGTCTAAGTGGTACCTTGGAAGAGCTGGCCCCAGCCATTAGCTGGGGCTGGCTCACCACCCCCTGCACACACCACACCCCCATCCCTCCCCCTCTCCTCCCCTCCCCTCCCTCCAGGTCCCCCCAGCCCTGTACCCCTCAACCCCGCCGTGTCTCTCTCTCTCTCTCTCCCTCTCTCTCTCTCCCTCTCTCTCTCTCTCTCTCTC